TACAATGAAGCTGTACGAGCGGCTGGTCGACTCGAAACTGCGGGAGCTGGTCCCCATCTCCCAGGAACAGTTCGGGTTCATGCCCGAAAGGTCTACAACGGATGCCATCTTCATCGCTAGGCAAGTGATGGAGAAGTATCGAGAAAAGCGCCGAGCATACTATGGAGAGCGCTCAGGGAACGGAACGTGCCAGAACACCTGATCTCTCTGGTGAAGGACATGTACGATGGGGCTAAGGCAGCTATACGCACCCCACACGGCCTAACGAAGGAGGTGGACATCACGGTTGGGGTGCACCAAGGGTCAGCTCTGAGCCCGTTCCTCTTCCTCCTAACACTAGATGTCCTGGTGAAGGGGCTCATGGAAGGACCACTGAAGACCATCCTCTACGCTGACGACATCGCCCTGATAGCGGATAGCAGAGAGGAACTTCAAGCCAAGGTGCAGAAATGGCAGAAAGTCCTGGCAGAAGGTGGGCTCCGGCTGAATGTCAAGAAGACCAAGTTCCTGAGCTCCGAAGAGGGTGCAGAGCCGATCGTGGACGGCCATGGTGAGACCATCGAAAGAGTGGAGGACTTCCGATACCTTGGGAGCGATCTGGCAGCCGACGGTAGTGTGGATCAGGCGGTGAAGGCTCGGGTCAACGCTGCATGGATGAAATGGAGGGAGTCCACTGGAATCCTCTGCGATCGAAGGTGCTCCAGAACGCTCAAAGGGAAGGTGTACCGGACAGTGGTAAGGCCTGCGATGCTCTACGGCAGCGAGTGCTGGCCTTGAACAAGAATCACGAAAGGCAGCTTCACTCTGCCGAAATGAGGATGAGGTCAGAAACGACGATGTCAGAGCGTTCATGCAGACTGCCTCTGTCCCGATAAAGGTACGCGGCAACGTCTGCGATGGTATGTGCGACCGCGAGTAGCCCCGAAGAAAAGGTGGAAAGACGTAATCAAGAAGGACCTAAGTGAGGTCACGGCCACGATGGAAGATGCCCTGGACAGAGCAAAGTGGCGACGACTGACAAAAACAGCGGACCCTGCGACTGCGCGGGACTAACGCTAGGGAGAAGAAGAAGAAGAAGGTTGATATGTCCAAACGACATCTTTCTTCGCAGGCCACTCAACCTTCCTCAAAAATGGACAGGCAAGTAAGGGGATCCCATCTTGTGTAATGGATTTTTTTGCTTTCCCCACTGATACTCCTTGTAAAATCCCCATATCCCCTCTAAGTCGACCAGAAACCCATACTGATTGCTGCCTTCAATTATGCTTGGCTCTCCTTTTACTCTAACCATTTTGGATTAAATTTAATTATACAAGTGCTACTCGCTGTAGGGATTAACAACGAGCGCCCCACCTCCTCCAATGAAACAATTGCCGCTCCGTCGCCATTGACACCCCTTGAGTTACACAGGAGAAAGATTTAGCCATGAATTTTGGTAACAGAAAGATTTCTGCAAGTTAGATTATATCTTTGTGAGGTGCCAGAGCCGAATCCTTTCTAAAATCTTTCAGTGAGATGGATCATGCATATTCATCTGCCTCTCTTCTGTATATTATTTCTTGCTCACGCGAAGTTTGTATTCCTTCTTGGAAATCGCTAAGCAAAGGACAAATGTGAGTGACTTTTTTGCGCGAGATATACACTTTTGAGGAGCGAACGTCCGCCTAAACATGAGAACGAGGCGAAAATTTAAAAATTTATTATCTCGAGTTTATCAAGAGAGGTTTTTCGGGTATCTGAGTGCATAGTTTGCAGTGAGGTGTGTGTTCCCGACTAAGAGGGTTCTAGGGAAGATTTCACGACAAATTGGATATTGGAGAGTGGGAGGTATTTGACTGCAAAAGGGCGGCGGACCCTGTCGTGATCTGCGCCACGACCTCGAGTTAAGTTATAAGGCAAACGCTGCTGAGTGACCTGACAGTAATGCACACTCAAACTTCCTGCCGTTCTAGAAGTTTCGGGCTCGCTGACCGCCTTAGACTTCAGATCGCGCGCCAAGTGGCTATCATTACTTCGCATCATGCATCTGGTGTACTTGTTGTGCACGTTCGCTTCATACAGGGGTGGCTAGAAAGAGACACTTTGCCAATAGCGCCCATCAAGCTTCACCGCACGGAGTGCCGCCGTTGCTGGCAGTTTCACAAGATAGTTCTTAAATGTCCCTCCATAAGCAGAAGCAGGCCCTCCTGCCCACCTCACGCAGAATAGTCGTCATCTGCATCATCGCCAAGTCAAGCGGCACGTAGCGAAAATGCTCTACCAGAAATAGAGTCGCATATCTCTTCGACAGTAACTGATGTATATCTTCAAGAGACTAGTAGCTCCTCTGTGCAAGAGAACTTTTCACCAGCGTTTCAGATAACGTCGTAGTGGCCTAATATCCATCGAGGAACACCTTGATATCGACACGTGCAGTATGTTCCCGTGATAAATTCTGGTGATATATTGGGGGTAGACGGATATTATGAAGTGTTTAGATAGAAAAAAATGTTCTCTCCTATTTTCACTTGAGAACATTCGGGATCGATTCAGGCAAAGGGTAAATATCCAGTTTTAAATGTGAAATGAAAGTCTTCTTTCGGCCTTTCCTGTACATTATTCGGTCCGCGTCGGTGATTCTTGGGTTATATACCTCATGACTAGATGGATCAGCTCTCCCGTCTATCTTTCCAAGCACTAGTATTTTAGATTACTGATTTTCCTCTTAATGTAAATTAGCGAGTCTCGTCGCGAAACACTTTTGGCTTCGCCTCTTCGTTAGTATTTTCATCGCAAGGCAATTAACGCGGAGCGAACCTTGTCAGTGTCGACAACAGTCACGCATTGTTAGCCTTACTTATCTTCATGGAAGGTCTCTTCACGAGATGCTTGCATTGCATGGAGCTTACGAGAGGGAGCAATCAAAAATCTTTAAAGCCTTCAGGAATTACCTGTCAGTATGGGGTAGATGGGGGATCAACGTTTCAAGACCTTTGGAACGGCACACCTTACTGCAAATGATCTAATAGAATTCTTTAACTATAACAATTGTTAACATAAATTGCGACGCGCGAGATTGTATAACATAAATTTGCATCGGCTACTCTGGTCTTAGGGTTCCACTCGCTTGATAGAGGCTGAGATGTGAGTTGCGTACATACTCATTTCGCGTAACTTATGCTAGATCATGGTATTTGTGATCTTGTGTTTCCACAACTACGCCGAAACTAGCAGCTACAGCTCATAATTCTTCTTTTGTCTTAGTGTGAGCGTCGACCTATTCATTCTGCGGGTTATTGGACTAATGGTGTTCGCTTTCTCAGCCCCCGTGGTCTACGACGCATACCTTACGTCCCTCAGCTTCAAACCCTGCCACACTCACGGTAAGCTCCACTTCCCTTGAAACGATTCGTCACACGTCAAGAGTTACTCCAGAGAGCTTATCAAACAACTGGTAGCGCATGTCAGCGATCAGTGTGTGGCCCCCAAAAAAGAAATCTGGAACATTCTTAACACATTCACGACGGCGCCCCTTTTCCATTTTTCGGTCGCGTGGGACGGACGCAATTTTGTGCGGCCGCCGCGCCTACTCACCCCCGCAATTTCTGTTACTATAAACGAAAAGATATGAGCTTTCAAAAAACATTTCGGCCACGGTTCATAGCGTTAAAGGGATCTAAACATCTAATATGTAGCAAATTCGCCAAACGACGCAATATAGTAATGAAAAAGCATGAGAATTTAGTCACTTTCCCAGCAAAGGAATACAACAGCACTTTATCGGAAGAATTCACGATTAGAATGAAGGTCGAAGAACGGGAAACTGACCTAGTTGAGGGACCCACGAACCTTCTGAGGGTGCCAACTGACGCGCAATTCGCACGGATTTTGACTACGGCCATCTATCACCTCGAAATGCTGCGGGTGCGCGAATCGTCCGGCTTCGATCTTCTGATCATACCGACGTAGTTCAATACGTGGCGAGTGATTAGATAGCTGAGAGAGCGTAGTGTTGAAGAGGGCACAGCGATGAGAGTCGCATCAATGCTCGAATCAACGGGCAAGGAAGGGGTACCATTTCTCGGGTTCTGGGCCGTTTCTCATGGTTCTTTTCTTTCGTGTACCACTCACCATCCCTAGGTTAATTTGAAATGGGTTGCTTTTTCATCGTGAATTCGTCCTTTAAGTTTATTTTGAAAAGCTTTGCCTACGTATTTTGCCCTTCATAGCGTCTGCAAGAGATATCAGCTGCAGCCAATATTGCGTCTCCAGACTCGTCCTATGAGCGCAACTCCTTGGCAGGCCATATGGGCTGCCGCCGGCGTGACTGTGTTAATACATGCGTTTGTAGTACTGCAAAACGTTTCATGCAAACGCAATTTGCCAGACATATGTGAAATGTTTATTAGGTGGAGATGGTGTTGAATTCCAAGATGGCTCAATACAAGCCTATTTTGCAATGCGCTCCTTCCTGAAAGCTTTTTATGTGACGCGAAGAAGAAGAGCTCCAACTTCGTGATGTGGTTCCCGTAGAGTGCATGCTCAAGTTTGGCCCAATGCTCAACGTTTCGCTCATCGTTCAGCGCTTATGCAAGATTCATAATGTACTGCTTGATAATGTCGGGTACCCCCCAGGAGGCCCGTCGCGCGGCAAGAAGGCAAAGTCAGCGGACGAGTCGCGCGCGTACTATAGGGATTTCGCGTCAAGTTAAAAGAGTGTCCCATTGCACGTCCTACATCGCACATCACGCGCTGCAACTCGTCCGCCGACTCTGCCTTCTTGCCGCGCGACGGGCCTCCTGGGGGGTACCCATAATGTCTACACCATACACCTGCTGGGTTAGTGATTCGCAAGACTCTAAGATTTCACCCACCTACCCTCACCTGATTTTCCTCGTCGTGCTTAGTAGTCAGCCCGTCAGTGTTACATGATTTGCATTGTATTTCATTTGTTTCTTTCGTCCTAAATGGACATGGAAGCGTAAAAGTAAAGCTGAAACTTGGGACGTGGCTGTGTGAAGTTTATAGGAACTTCTACTTCAAGTACATAGGAAGTAGGAACGCATTTATCAATGAACATTGTAAGAAAAATAACAAGTTCTTTTGCAGTGTCGATCTCGGCCGCTGTGAGCGAGTATTTGTGCATATGTGTGGTCATTCTCTTTCGCACTCTCGCAAATATGCGACTACAATGGATTAGTGATGAATCTGGTCGCCTTACAGTACGATACGTTCCCTAGAGAGGATCTTCCGGATTACTCGCCAATCTTCATGACATCCCACTTCGATTCTGCTCCTTTCGCCCATCTTAGAGGTCGAAAAGCCTACGTCCATGATCTCAAGTGCTGTGCTTAAAGTCAGCAACATTGCTCAATCATTGTTTTGTGAACAAAAAATAAAAATTTGCAGAATTTTTTTTAAATAATAGGCTGTTGCACTGAAACTCTAATTTTGATCTGACGAGTGCACCTTATCGTGTCGGGTCCACGTCTTCACTGACTGGCGCGCCCTGAATTACGGTGAGCAGGAGCCTGGCGCACAGCAACTGGGAATGAACAGTGACCATGCTCCATCCCTCCCCACGACCCTGTTACCTGTCATGGTATTGGTATTAGGTTGTCCCATAATTAGTGAATCACTTTGGGTATTTTTGAATTCAAATTTTTTTCTTTTATTCAAGTCCTTGCTCATCCAAACATACACCTCTGTCATCTACAATGTATTGCCTATACATGGAATTTAGTCGCTGTCTTTTCTCTGAAATTGCAGGAGCTCCTTGAACGAAGAAACGCAGGAAGTCATATCACTTATCGTCACGAAGAGCGCTAGAGCTCAAACTGGGTTGTCTTACGAGGATAGTGTTACACGGCGGAGGTGAAAGAAGTGCTAGCCTGGGAGTCTCCAATTTTTTATGAATATTCTCCGCAAGGTGGGGTCGAACGACCTCAGGAAAAAAGCAGACTTTGTCTTGCTTTACTTTCAAATTGAATGCGTCGCCATTACGCCGTCGACGTTGACCTTCTTCAGGGTCCCTAGTATAACTGAGCAGCGGCATCAAAGATTCGCGCAGTCGCAGATAATCGATCGAGGGCCGTTTACAACCGAATAAATGCTAAAGTCGTGGGACGCAGGATAAAAGAAAAAGCTGAAAAGCCCTCAGAAAGGGTAGAAAATTGTACTTGACGAAGAACACTCTTGTGCAAAAATGAGGAGGAATGTGAAGTTATCGTCTAATAGCAGTATGCCGTAATAGATAATGATTCGTAATGGCATCCATTAGGTCACGTCCAAAGGCAGTCCTCTGGTTATCCTTGCAAGGTGTGACGAGTGGGTCAATTGCCTTGGATTCTTCTCGTATATCCTTGAACTCCTGATTGATAAAGCATTTTCGCGATCTCGGTGAGCTTTCTTTGGCATATTCCTTTCCTTAGCCGAGCACATCTTTATTATCATCGCCGTGATTTTCAGGTTTCTTGGAATAACCCAATTATTCTACGTCACTTTGTGAGTGATCGTAAAAAACCTCTGCAAGCATTGTCTTTATGACTACACAGATATTGTGAGAATAACCTTCTCTGTGAAAAATGAAAATATTATAAAGTTTTTGAAAAAGAAACGAGTTAATGAGATTCCTCTTGATGCTGGCTTTGTTCTTATGTAAACATAAAATAATAACGAATTTAATCACTTGGTCAGGAAACTTGAAACAGAATTGCTGTAGTTTTTTTTTCGAGGAACAGCTTGCGGCAATTTTCCTCACCGCTGTCGACAGGAAAGGAATGTCATTTATATCCAAAATATTCAAGAAAAAGTGTCATTTCGGAAAAAAGCGGACTGTTGTGTCAATAACTGAAAAACACAATCGTAACTTCCTTGACTGATCACTGTAGGTTCAACAATTCATCGATGTGTAAGAAGATTTCGTAAGATGCCATGAGGTTTTGGTTTGTTGATAAGACCAAAAGTCTCACAGAAGGTTGACTCTTCTTGTGGTCCTTGCCACAAATCATATGAGCCATCAAAGTGGCGCTAGCGTTTAAAAGATCTCAAGAAATTCCTCTACAAAGAACTGAATATATTTGCTTCAAAGTGGTTTCCTTACATGGGAGGGCCAGTTTTGGGCCATCACCATGTTCAGACTATAAATGCACTGGATCAGGCGCTTTTCGTGTACCCGTCAATGTGCTTGCTCGTTAAAAGGAGTGGGGCAAAGATTGCGTGATCAGACGCTCCACTAGACGGCATAGTGTAGCTGAGCGCAAACAGCAGCGCTTTGCTGTTCGTGCTAGACTCTGACAACCCATTTTCTGCTCTTCGTAATAATCAGCTGTGTTAAACTGAATTATGGCGTTGAAAAAGTGCGTCTTATCGTCGCATAAAACGATAAGGGAATCGACCATTTGCTGCGGATGGAACGTGCATATGGCTGAGTTCTACCTAACGACCGTCTTGAGCAACGAATTCCTCATCAAGTGGGTTGTTTTTGATTTATGGCATTATCCATCACTTATTATCCTATGGTCGAAATCCTGAAGGTCACTAGAAAGTTTAGCGACATTACACTTTACATTGTTCGAACCCAACGTGTGCTGCTGGCGCCTTCGCCCTGTTAATAGGCATTTATGCTCGTTGTGATCGCGTCAAATCATAACTTGCAACATTACCATTGAAGAAGTTATTTGCATTTTGTATAAGCTTCCAAATTCAAGCGGAGTGAATGGTGCGAAGGGCGTTGGAACCGCGTTCATATGCTGCACATATCGTAGGCTGATTGAAATTTAGCTCCAACACGAAAAAGGAAGCGGACATGGGCAATCCGTACTGCGTTCCTGATGCTTTCGGTTTAGTGCATGCTGGAATTATCAAAATTTGTTCTTGCGGCTGCGCTTTTTCAATTTTGAGTTTCTATTATACAGCGCAGTCTGGCGTTAGTTGTGATAGATTCTGATATTTGGCGAGCACATGAAAACAGTGCGTTTCCTATAACTAGGTCCCTTCCATGCTTCCCGTGTCTTCCAACTGGTTGCTCGCACGAGCGGTGAGATACAAAGTGCGGAGGGCAGTGGGCTAGACGTCGTGTCGTCGTTGAAAAGGGTTGTTAATAAATTATTGAACCTGCTCTCTTGATTGCTCGATCGATCTGAACACGGGGCTAAGTAAATGACCAGAAGTTTGTGCAGTGGCTGTTTAGATAGCAATGGCAGGGGTGTTATCACAAATTAAGGTGGAATCTAGGTAACTGCATAAAGGTATGGTCCTAGTTTGCCACGCTCGGGTCGTGGCATCACGTTTCTTTTCCCATCATTTTGCTGACCGTTAAGCATACTCGGCAGACGGCGGCAGGCTAACTGACCAATATTTATGGTCCAATTGACTTCGTGGAGCTTTTTCAAAGTAGCGAATTTATTAGGTCGGTCCATAATTTTTGAGACACTTTACATATATTGTTGTAAAAATCTTTTGATAAGTATTGAAGCTTTCCAAGATGTCCTGCAACCTGCACACAAGCTCGCCTATCCGACAGGCTAGCCACCTCGTTTGCTTGTTGCTTTCTTTAGCTAGGATTCCAATTTCTTCGAAACCTATTTCTGAGCCTCTTTCTTCATGACTACCGATTAGGATCTTCCACGCGCCAAGCTATATGGAGGATTAACCAGAAGATAGTTGAGGGCACGCTCTCTCAATCCACGGTGCTGGTTACCTCTACTCAGGGTTCCCTCCTTTATTTGAAGATGATCCACACTCCAACCACCCCGTGACTGGCAATCTCGATGCTCTATCCGGCGCCATTGAAAAGGAATCTGAACAAAGTGAGCGCTATTTGTCAGAGCGCTTTTGGTGTGACAAGGTGAGTACTGAGACATCTCGATAAAGTCGCTAAGGTTTGAAAATATGGAGTTTGTCTCTCACATGCTCTGAGCCCGAATCAGCTCTAAACCCGATCTGACATCATCATGTTCCTATTGGTTTCCCATAGTTCCTTCGAATGACCATCCATCATACTCATCGGTGATGTGGACTGGGTGCAGTGTGCTAACAAATCCACAAGCCGCAGTAGCTTAGCTTAAACGATTCGGGAGTTCTGACAGCAAAAACCCAACTCCCTCTGAATTCGAACTTCCTGAGTCGTTGGCGGAATACGAGAGGGGCTTTGCGCTGAAACCGGCACCAACTACCAGTGTCAGTGATGAAGATAATCGTTGACAGCTTGATGGCAACGCCTTCAACTTGAAAGCAAAGCAAGACAAAATCTGCTTTTTTCTGAGGTCGTTCGACCCCACCTTGCGGAGAAAATTCATGAAAAACCGGAGACCTTCGGATAGACAGTTCCTTCAGCTCCGTTGTGGTCCTAATTTCGTACCAACGAATGAGCATCGGCTCCCCTCTCTAGTTCACCTTCTGGAGAAGAAATCTTACTTCAATCACCATGATGTCATCGACATCCAATTTTTCTTCGATCAGAATTCTTTAGAATTCTACAAGAAAGACATTGAACACCTACCCTCGCATTGGCTATATGTTGGTAACGGTGATGTATACTGTGTTGAATAAATACATCAGTGAAATAGAAGGCAGTAATTAAATCGAAAAACACCCAAAGTGTCTCAAGAATTATTGACCGACATAATAGTTTGCTTCCCAGCAGCACAATCATATTTGGAAATTCTAGCCCCAAGACTCTTTGGCTTTGGCAAAATTGGCGGAAGTTCACTGCTAGCATAACTGAAATTGCTTTATTACCGCTCTTGATGGTAAGGAACGGGTGACAACTTTTTCAAAACTCTGGGAGGGTTGTGACGCCGTTGGTGGTCCAAAGAACAAATGTTTCTGATAAGAAGTTCACCTGAGCGTCCCTAACGACGCGGAACTAAAAGCAATGGGGTGTTGATAGAACTTTATTTTATTTTCTTAGGTTTTATGGGGGGACAGATGTTGGTTTATGAGTAGCTTAAGAATCATTCTCGCTTTTACACTGCACGAAAACGCGGTTTGCCAAATTATTTTAGGCGAAAGCTTGCATTCTTCAACGTAATACGTGCGAACACGCATTTTATATTCTAGATTCAACCTATAGTACTCAAGGATGATGATAATAACCTGGTATAGTGAATCGCACGAGAGGCGCTTCCGTTTAGTTGCGATCCCCGTTATCCTATTCGAATAGTAATAAATTGATTTCGATTGAACAGCCTGTTATCAGGCGGTTTACTTCAAGGTGTCTTAGCAACACACCTTACCAGGGGATTTTTCACAATCTGCAAAGGCGCTTTTTCAAAACAAAAAAATTCTTGGCACTTTGTAAGAACCATATGAGGAACGCTGATCTTTTCGCTCACGTGTTCTTGAGAAAC